TCCAGGATGAAAACGGTACGATTTACTTTAATAATAAAGTAGGCGTTTCACAAAATTTTCGATTCTTTTACATATTACAACTTCCCTTAAACCTCCCAAATATTTGCTATGTCGGGCGCATGTCCAGTAAGTAAAATTGAGTGAGTTTCCACAACGTAGGTCCTATTTGTTCTTCATTTCATTTTTCAGAAAATTTGTTGTTTAAAAGGTAATAAAAATTCTCATCGTTCAATCTTACTAAACGAGCCTGGGTATGTTATACTGTTTATCTCTGCGCCACGGAGACAAATTGACAGGGCGCCTAAGAAAGGGAACATCTCAACCTACCTGTGAGGATCATCCAATCCTACCTAACCAATAGAAGGATAATATCGAGAAGGGGGTTTGGAAGTACACCAGAGAAGTTGAAGAAAAGGCAGATTTAGTGTAAAGGTATAAATTTCTTTATTAAGTATTAACCGAGCGCTTTTGGCCTAGTGAAGGGCCATCATCAGGGTCTTGTTCTTATATATGTAAAAAAGGTTATTCTAGACTTACTCGCCAGGTTCGCATAGTGGAGACAGAGTTACAGAACAAAGGCATGTTTTTGGTGTAGAAAGCCAAATTAATAAAATAAAAGACACACAACACAAGTAAAAGGTGACAAACTAACTAACATCCAGGAGCGCTCGACAACAACAACCAACTCCAAAATACATTTAGGCTTTTCAGGACCGACCCTGATGATGGCCCTTCACTAGGCCGAAAGCGCTCGGTTAATACTTAATAAAGAAATTTACACCTTTACACTAAATCTGCCTTTTCTTCAGAAGGATAATAGCCCCAAATCATACCACACATGAAATGACATGCGGTGTACCCCAGGGCTCCATCCTGGGACCAAGTCTGTGGAACCTGATGTACAACCAGGTACTTTGCCTGGACACAAAGAAAGGAGTCAATCTGGTGGCGTATGCGGACGATTTGGCTATAGTAGTTAAGGCCAAAACTGCAGCCCAGCTTGAGGATCCAATACGTGGAGAAGATGGGCATTGCAGTAGCGAAGCAAAAGACACAGACAATTCTGCTAGCCAGCAAAAGAGCAATAAATAATGTGGGAATAAATGTCCAGGGGAATATCGTATCAACGTCGGACTGGGTGAATATCTGGGAACCACATTGGATAAAAATCTGCGCATGACTACTCACATCAAAAAAATAGCGGACAAGGGTAGCCAGATGATGAACATCCTACTTAGGTTAGGATTATGCCTAAAACAGCCGGTCCCAAAACTAGGAATAGAAGGCTGATAGCCAGCACGGTGACATCAGCCATATTATGTACTTAGATACAAACACTGCCGCGACATATTCAGCAGAGTAAATAGGAAAAGGGCAATCGGCCTCACGCCTACAGAACGGTGCCCACAATGGCGGTAGAGGCGGTGGCCGGTCTTCCGCCATTCGATCTACTGGTCGAGAGACAAAAAGCCTATGAGTTAGGTAGGGGGTGCAAGGAGGATGCTAGAAGGGAGCTCATGGAAAAATGTCAGGAAAGGTGGTTATTATACGCCGGATGGGCTAAGATTTTCATAAAAAATGTTGAAAACTGGGCTACTAGGAGGCACGGGGAGGTGGACTATCATGTAACTCAGGCTGTGATGGGACATGGAACTTTTGGGTTATACCTTAAGAGGTACAATAAAAGAGAGAGCGACGAGTGCTGATAATTGTTGGACACAGACACGCCGGAGCAGACGATCTTTCATTGCTTCAAGTTCAGCATGCAGAGAAAACGGGCAGCAGTAGCATGTGGCGAAGAAGTCATCAAAGACAAATCGCTGACCTATTGCTCACCAGTGAGAAACATTGGGTAGCGATCGTGGATATGCTAAGGAACATTATGAAGGAAAAGTGCGAGGGGGAGAAGAGAAGTGAAATAGAAGAACAGAACTAAGTAGACGTCCCTGAAGTAATGCCTCGCGTCTTCCCCAGGATGGTAGGGGAAGGGTTTTAGTGGGTCGAGCTCAGACTCGGAGTCACATACTATCCAGGTCACCAGAAAAAAGGGTGCGCTTGGAACCTGGTATTCAAACTATTCCAGTTGTAATTTTTCCAATATTCAAACTCAATTAAGCAAAGAAGTATTCCTCTGAAACTGTTGAGCGTGATTCAGATGGCCGTTTCATAGTTTCATTTCCATTGAAACAGTCTCCAGGTACCTACTGGGTGAATCTCATAGAGTCAAACACTCAGTCAATTTCTATCATTGGAGTGAAAGCTCGCTAGAATTTCCAAATTGAAAGAAATGTATGTAGAATTTATACAGGAATACCAAGACCGTCAACACATGACACCTATTTCTTCTGTCCCTAATCAAAAAATGTACTATTCTGCATATCCCTGTGTCTTACGCGAGGATAGTACAAAAACAATGCTTAGAGTGGTATTCGATAGTTCAGCCACTTCCAGTTCCGGGCTGTAATACAATTTGCTTCAAATGATTGGTCCGGTGGTTCAGGATGACTCAGTATCAATTGTCATGAGATTCCGACAACACCAAATTATCTTTGCTGCAGACATCTGCAAAATGTATCGTTAGATACAGGTGAAAAAGGATTTCCGTTCTTCAGTTGATTCTTTTGCGTTCGGGTCCTAAAGGCGGTTACACACGGGCGTGGATGGCTTGATAATTATACGACGTGCATACATCAATGTGCAAACAACAATGTGCATGTCGCCTTTGTACAGACGCTCGCACACAGCTGTCAAAACTGCAGTCTTGTTACTCTTGCTACAGTATTTCGAGTGTGCATACAAAATTTCTAGCGATTCCAGAATTCACATGAGCGTCATTCTACCACTTGCACATTCAAAAATGCGACGGTATTATGCAAACACATTGTTGCGGAAATAACCCACAAGTTTAAACTTTTATTATTTCTAATTTAATATAATCTCAATTTCTATTATTTACCATAAAAATAATATTCTTAAAATAAATGCCTGTAAAACCGGCAACAACAACCCTTTAAACCGGTAAAATTACAGGTTTCTTCATTACCTTATGAGACAGTGGAGCTATTTTGCTGCTGTGGCTGTGATTGGTCAGCCGCCACATTTTTTTTCTAGATTATTCTATTTCAGCGTTTTATTTGCATAAATGAGAATCAAGGCACCCCTAATCCAATACAAGGCTTAAATGATCCAACACCTAATGGTTAAGTTTTACAGTCAGTCAAAGTAAAAACTTTTGGCATCCCTGGTGCGGTTTGACTAAAGCCCAAAAAGGGACAATAGCTAGTTCCGTCACACACATTGATGTTTCTGTTTGCGCGTTCATGTATGTGCGTACATGTTTTCAGATATTCACGTCCGTGTGTAACCGCCTAAAAGATGAAATTGAAACATTCTCTCTTAAAACAGTAACGTACGGAACTGTAAGTTCACCATTTCTAGCAACCCGTTGCCTAAAGCAATTGGCCATTGAAAATGAGACTTGAAATCCTGCTGCTCAGGTGATTGCAAGGGATTTTTATGTCTATGATATTCTCTCAGGAACTAATTCAGTCGAAGGCGCAGTGCAGTTATACAGGAACGTTTCGGACATTTTGAAAACAGGGATTTTGAGTTGAGGAAATGGAAGGCTAATAATAAGGAGTTGTTGGATCAGATCAACTCGTCTAAATCAGAACAAGGGTATTTTTTTGAGTCCTCAGACACATGTAAAATTTTAGGGTTGCAGTAGTCAAGTGCATCAGATGAATTTTCTTTTCGCATTAGTCTATCACCCCCTATGAAATAAATCACAAAATGACTGATTCTGTCTGAGGTTGCTGGAATTCATGAGCCCCTTAGTTGGGTTAGTCCAGTAATAAGAAAAGCAAAAATCATTCTCCTGTCTCTATGGTCTCAAAATTTATCCTGGGACGAAGCAGTTTCAGAAGATTTAGCACAAGGTTGGAGTCAACTGCGAAATAATTTACATGAACTCAATTCTTTAAATATATCACGAAAAATTGTTTGTGCAAGTCCACAGTTAATGCAGCTTCATGGGTTTTCAGATGCGTCGAATAGTGGGTAGGTATGGAGCCTACATATACATCAGGTCATTAGTTGATTCGAATAACGCTAACCATGTGCATCTTCTTACGTCGAGAACAGGGACGGGTTGCTTCGCTCGAAACCATAAGCATCCCTCGTTCTTCAACTGTACGATAAAGTAACAACGTATCTTACTTTAAACATTGACATTACTGTATCACTAGTCTGGTTGCTCTGTCCCCCAGCTAATTTACAAGTTTTCGTGGGTAATCATGTTTCCACTATCCAAAGCTTGACGCCAATCAGAAGCTGGAGACACGTTTCAACAAAACTGAATTCAGCAGATATTCTGTCGAGAGGAATGTCTCCAAGAGACCTAATTACTTCTTCTACATGGTTCTATAGACCAGCCTGGCTCAAAATGTCCTGCTGAAATTTCTGAGAAGAAACTCCTTCCCATTAAGGAGCTTCCAAATATTCGTACCCACTGCTTATACCGATGTTGAAACAAAAAAAAAAGTTATTCCATTTGTTAACTTTTCTTCATTTTCACGAATTAACAGAGCAGCAGCATATAATGCTCAGATTTGTGCATAACTGCAAGTGCAAAGGGAAAAACCTGAAACAAGAAAAATACAGTCCACAACACAAAAAGAAAGAAAAGACGAGACTAGACCCATTGAAGGTTAATCGGTTTTACGTCCCTGGAATGCTCAATGTTACTTGACTTTGGTCAACTTGGCTAGTTTGATCGTTTGTGCAAAATTATTCAATGAAGACTAAAGTCAAATAAAATACCGTCATAGAATAGGGACATATTGATGAATTTGGAGATGCTTATCTTAGCTACGTAGTTGTTTGTATATTGTTTTATCCATCAATTTTTTTTATACGCCACGAGTTGAAAATTATAATAACAATTAAATTGAAATACTAATGTTTGATATTTTTGGACATTTATAATGGACAACCCAGGTAAACGTTTCCGTTTCTACTACACGAAACTCAATTTCCTTTAGAAAGATTCTAAATTGTATAATTTACATAAAAAATTGCTAAGCATTTTGGTAATAAAATAATAGGTACAAAATAGATAATCATAAGGCATTTGTATGTAATAATGATATATTTTTGGAGTAGGTAATGTTTAACTTGCTCAGAAAAATTACACATGGATGAAATTTAATTTGAATTGAAAAATCTCATTATTATTGCAGGTAATATTTTTTTAGCAGCAGCCTATTACTCAGATCAATCGTAATTTTACGAGAGGGAATTGAAATAAGCAAATTTCCTAGTATATAATCCCATATATAATTTTCTTATATAAATAGTTTTTTGATATAACCAGCACCTCTATTAATATCTATCCACTAACTAGATAGGTACATATTTGTAAGGCAACCAATAAAAAAAATTCCAAAAACCAATTATATAATATGGTAAGTTGTATTACGTCTTATAAGTTTCTTGTTTACATCGGTCATTAAAGTAGGTACCTACTTTTTGTCTTACGCACAGATAGGCAATTTTCCCCTAATTGATCTACATTAAAATTTTAACACCGCTATTTTGTTGATCACAGTACAACATTTTTATTCATCATTTGAATTTTAACAGAAATAAAAAAAAAAAAAGATGTTTTGTTATTAACAAGTAAAAGTTACAAAAAATACTGTAGGTATGTTGTGTATTATAAATAAATTTTATTCTTCCTCACTAGATGATTGGTATGCTAGTTGATCATTCCACCAATCTTTGATTTCTTGCAGTGCATTTGTTGGTTTTGGCACCGAAGTTTTATTGTTTTGAACCTTGAAAAATACTTTTGAGAAAATAATTTAAAAAAAAAACTATTTGAACTTTACTTCTCTCGGCATTTTATTTTGCTCACTGTCATTCAAATGTACTATATTTTTACTGACTGTAGGATTCGGTCTTACAGTATTAGCCTTCTTTTTGGTTTGTTGCACTTTTTCTCTTTCTTGTCTAGCTGAAGGATCTGAGAGGGTCGGTGCCAAGTATTTGCGACCTTAAACATACTAAGCTTAGGAAAATTATTTATTGTTGTAGCAATATTGTTACCAGAAGTACTGCCAATACTATCAGACCTTGGCAAAGTAACCATTTTTTGCTTTTTAACTACTGGTGGTGGTTCGTTTTCTTTAGATTCTTGATTGTTTTCCAGGTCTTTTTCGGCTGGTTTGGAATTCTTCATTTCTTCTAGTTGCTCTGCAGTCGTTAGGGCTTCATTTGTTGCTCTAAGTCCTGCTATAAGACTATTTTGTTGCTTCTAAAGAGTGAATATTGTAATAAGTTTCAAATATTCAATTTTTCACTCACGTTTGTTGATCTAATTTTTTTCAGGCAACCCTCTAACCAAGTTCTTATAGTTTGCTTGGCCACTTCTTCTTCTATAATATATTCAAATTCTTCTCTTGCTAAAAGTTCTTCTAGTTGCAAAGCTTTTCTTATATCTACGCTTCTATAGGATAACATACTGAAAAGTAATTGATAAAAAAATTGGTATTTTCACTATAAAAATTACTTTATAACGTCATGGAAGGTGACATCTTCTCCATTGTGCAATCTGTCCAGTTCGTAACACATGTGTTTGAACAAAACTCGATCTTTTTGAGGATCAACTTCTAGTCTGCCTTTTAAAAGGCGTAGAATAAACTTTACCTGCAATAATTGTGAAATAATTAGTAAATAATGGAATTTGCAACATTTACCCTTTTCACTGGAATAACGCCCCTTTGATGTATATCCACAATATTCCAGGTATTTTGGAAATTTCTTATATCAGCATAAGACAGCAAAGCGTCTTCTTCATTAGAATAAAATAATGAAAAGTTCTCCATGATAATAGCTGGAATATAATTTTGACATTTTTATCAGAAAATAAATTATTCAAGAGTAAAACTCACCCACAAGTAAATTCAAAACGATATAAGTAATAATTACATAAAATGTACAAAAGTAGATAAGGGATCCCATAAAATTGCCGCAATCTGTTTCCCAATAATTAGCAGCTGGAGTGCAATATGGAGGCTGTATCATACAGTCGTGCATTATTTTATTCCAGTCTTCACCTGTAACTATTCGGAATAACATAGCAACACCAGTAACGGGAGATTGAAAGTTTGCTCTCCTAAATACAAGAAAAAAATGTTTAATGCAGAAGGTACAAGTGATAGTAGGTACTTACCGCCCTATTCCTTCTCCATACTTTACGGTACCAAACAAAATGGTACCCGCCAATGCATAAAAGAAAACGAGCAAAAACATTCCGAAAATAATGAAGAAACTTTTACATACTGAAACTCCAACGGTTAACATGAGCATTTTTAGTGTTGCATGTTTTCCGGTTATAGTGAAAAATCTTAGTACTACAACCATGAAACCAATGAAGTATGTTAGGTCATTCTAAAAGAAATTCAATTATTGCAAACCTAAAACCATATCCAGACTAGACTACGTAACAAAAGCAATTTTATTCAACAATTGTATTCTTTTCTTTAGCAACTTATTGCTATTTGCCAGAATCCGTGTTACCTTGAACATAATATGGAAAAATGTCCATATAACTCCGACAACAGTCACAAATAAATCGTAACGGTTTCTTCTGGATTGCAAATAGCCTCTCGGAGTGAAAGCGATATTTTTCATGATAACTTCTACCAGAAATATAAGAGTGCACATCATGGAAATGGTAACCAAAGTGTCTGTTGTGGAATCATCTTTTTCCCACTAAAAAAGTCTTTTTAATTAGGTACATATTTAAATATGTAAATTTCAAGTAAACAAATATTTTACAAATGTTTAGAGTTTAGCATTTGTCATCTTATAGACAATTTATGTTTCAAGAGTTACTTACCGTTACACTCAACAGAGCAGAATTGATTAAGACCAATATAGCAATACTCCTTTTGAATTTCAAATTTTGCGTAATATCATAAATAAAAGCCCTAAACTTCTTCCCATCAGGTCTAGGAGGTAGATGTAAAGGCTGAGCAATTTTTAGTCTTTTTTTCAAGTCGCACCATCTTCTTTGGTCTACAGTCAAAAGGGCAGTACCTTTGTTTTCCGAGTAATTTGCAATCACCACACCGACAAATAAAGTAAGTCCTATCATACAACCTAGGAAAATGTAGATGTGGATGTAGATAGCATGAACCTGGAAAAAAGTTCGATTGTGTTCACTTTTTCAACTGCCAAATAACCAATTTACCGGGCCAAGTGATTTTATTAAAATATCCCTCACATCTAACCAACCTTTAAAGGAAAGTACTTCAAATAATGTCAACATTGCATCGCCGATATTATCGAAATTGAATCTCCGAGGATTGGCCCTGAATCAAATCAACATGTATTTAGTTTATATGTTTGATTTACCTACTTACCAAACTCTAGGAACTAAAATCTGTGGATAAGTTTCATTTTCTCCTGGTTGAACTTTCATTTTGGTAACGAACACTCGTCTCCAAAATATACCATGACAATCCTCTCTTCTGGTGATGTTAGGATCATTACAACGTGCTAATCTACCACCTGAAATTTTCTTACCACATATTTTATGTTTTATTTATATAAAATTACTTACCATACAACTGAACTCCATAGCTAGCAAAAATAAAAATCAACAATATCAATAACGTAGATACCAACAAGATTTCCTTGAAACCTCTACACAACTCGTAAACAACTTTACTCATATGAGGAACCAAAGTGAAAATCCTGAGAGGCCTCAAGCAACGCAAAATCATGAGTAGTTGAGCTCCAGAATTGGGTGGTACACTTTGAGGCATCCAACACAAAAATGTCAAGCTTACCTAAAAGAACTTTGACTACAATGTTACCAAATTGAAGTGCATTTTCTTACAAGATAAATGAAAACATCCAAAACTGCAGCAACATCTTTAACGTAAGCTTTAGGGGTGAAAAATAGTCCATCAGCTAAAATTTTCAATGCCAGTTCCATGCTCATGAAAATTACGAATCCATATTCAGCCACTTGGAGACTAGGATTTTCCATTACTCTGTAATGAGGTGTTTCGAACATCATTGATAGGCAGGAAAGTGTTGTCATAGCTATCATAACCCAGTCTAAGTACGTGACCAAACCCAAAAAATTACTAAAATAGAAAACGACTGATTTTATTGATCACATTTAATTTTGATTACTTACTGAAGGGTTTTGTATTGTACTTTCCTTTCTTTTCCAGTAAGTGGATCTTTCAGTCTGGCATCATATCTTGCGTATACAATCAGTTGACAAAACTTTCTGAATCGGCTCTCCCTTGGCACAGCAAACAAAGGTGTATCAAAAAATGGGTGATTTTCGCGTAAATCTTCTTCACGTTGATTTCTAAGATGATTTAGTATTTATACTAGGATATACTTTTAGATTTAAATTTCTACCTTCTCATTTCCGCCTGTTGTCTTTTCGCTTGTAAAAGTTTAATATCCAAATCATGAGGCCTAGCTCGATTAGATGTTACTCTGTTGACCCCAATATCTCCATTTTCCATTAAATGTTCGTAGGTTTGCTTGAGTTTTATGGAACCTGATCTCACTGATCGTCTTATTGATCTAGAACCAAACCTACGCAAAAAATAATTTAATTGAATAGTACGTGTTTTTTAAGCTCGTTTTAGGCAATCAAATTTGAATTTCTAATTAGTTATTATTATTGCACTACTTCTAGATCATTCCAATTTCTACCTAGAAATTTTCCAGGTTCTCACTACAAAATCCTTATAGATAATTTTGCATGCCAATCATCGCTATTACTAATTAAATTTTGTTATGGCCAATTAAGTCGATTGCACTCACTTCTTGTGATCAATACGTAACTGTTTGACGCTATTCACAGTGCCCTGCGGTTTTAACGGACCCTTGCTTCCTGGTACCGGGATGATGGACGAATCTCCCAGCATGAGCCTTTGATTGTTGGAATCACTGAAATCAGAAAGAATTATCGGTATCTACCTACATAAACGACACCCCAGAATAATTATTACCTTATAATATGAGACACTGTGGTTTTCTTTAACTTAATATTCACACTTCTCACTTTGGGTAGTTTATTCAAAATATTCAGAGGACGTTGTTTTCTATACACTATTTTAGAATCAAACATTTCTTCGGCTGTTAATCTTTTGATACCAGTTTCGGCATTTTCTTCGTCTTCAGTTTCGTAGACAAATTGTCTCATGAAACTCTCTCGCACCTAAATTGACAGATTTTTTTAATGTTTTGCCTCCAAATATTTCCCCTATTACCTTTGGAAGATTAAAATCTGAAGGAATCCGATGCAAAGTTACCATCAAAGGACTGTCAGGAAACTTTTCAAATATTCTCAGCCTGAAAGGTAAAGTTTCCTTGATTTCTGCACTTTGTTCTCTATATTTCAGTTGCTTCAATTTTTTTATGTCTTCATCTAATTCCAAATTGTCCAAGATTACTGCTACGAACAAACTCAACACAATCTGTAAAATAAGGGATAAATCAGCATTTCGGGTCACTTTATATAAATACAAAATTCTTACCAAAGTAACAAACAAATGATACATAATAAAATAAAATGCCACCAATGGGGCAATCATAGACGGGGTCCTAAACATCGTTTCATCCATAACTTCAACCCATGCTTCTTGAGTCAAGATTTGGAACATAGACATAAAGGCTTCGGAAAAAGTTTCAAACTTGGTGAAATCCAAAAAGCAAAATAACTGCATTGATACGCTGGAGGAAATTATTAACAAGCACATGGTGAAGATGATGAGACTTCCTAGTTTTTTGCCTGGACCAAAAATTTTGTAGACAAAGTCTTCAAGTAAAGGCGAGGCTTTAATTAGACGCACTACACGGAGGACTTGGAAGAATGTGAATCCAGTCATGTAACAACCTGAAATTATTAATCGAATGTATGTTTTTTCACCATATTCAATACTTATTTATTGTTACCGGGAATGATATGAATGGTAGTTCCAATAGCGCATAGCATTTCGAACTTATGAATCGAATGTTTCCAATAGCCTCTCCATCCCAGACACCAAATTTTAAACATAACTTCCAAATTCATCAAAGCAGTGAAGCCCAACTCTAAAAAATAATGTTTTTCGTAAAACACTTTTCTCGGCTTTGTGTTGTGCTTGAAACTCATCGAAGCCGTTACTACAGCATTAGCCAGTATGATGCCCATCACTAGGCTACGGAAATAGGGACTTTGGAGGACTTTTTGACAAAATTCCGGAGCTGCGCCACCGTGTTTGTTATCGTCCAATGTTACAAGTTTCCAACCTCGATCGTCACCCATAAGAATCTGAAACAGTAGGTTTTTTCTTAATCAAATACACATTTAATATATTGAATAATTTCACTTGTGAAGCTGAGCTGTTGCTAATGTGGCCTCTGATTCCCCACATTTGCTGAAACTGAACCCTGATTTCGTTAAAAGTTTCTGTGATGACTGCAATGAAAACGTTCTTCACCAGCCAAGCCAGAAAGAAAATCAAAGTACTAAAATATGATACGGCCATCCAGGGAGGTAAAGAATCTATTGCTCGATACATAATGAAAACCCAACCTTCTTGAGATGCTGCCTGATAGACTGTGAAAAAACTTGTAACTGGAAGTTTTAAAAAAAAATGAGCTTGTTATTATTTGAGGAAAACACAAAATAGATTACCGAATTCATCAAATCCATTAAATCCAATAATATATCGAGATACTCCTTCCATTTTCATGCATTTCATTCCCTGGGGGCATTGATATCCAGATCTTGGATCCAGAGAACAAAAAGTGTCAGGAATTGCCAGGCTGTTTATGGTAACTTCTCTGAAAAATAAAATCGATGTTAAAGGAGGCAAAGACCTTATTGCTACTTACTCAGGTGATTTAGTTGAATTTATGACGCAATGATTTTTGAGTTCGCCAAAAAATTGCACCCCTAAAAGTCCATAAAGCGACATAAAAAACAGAAAAAACAACGTCACGTTGTAGATTTGTTGACTCGATCGCCTAAAATACACAAATTAATTTGTCTTATTTAAATGAAGGAAAATTCTTACTTGAATATCTGATTTATTCTGGATTTAGGCATTGAAAACTTAAGAAATACTCGTAAAAATCTGATTACTATTAAAGGTCGGGGTGCTCGTATGATTGAAATGTAAGAAGCTGCAGGAACAATTCCTAATATCTCAAAAATTTGTAAAATAACTGATAACCAAAGGAAAAACACCATGCTAGCGTCGAATTGACACCAATGATCTTTTAAGTAGGATTTTTCGCCCTGAAAATTAATAAATGTGAATCATACATTTTAAAATTGTGTTTTGCTAACCTTGAGGATGCCTCTGATGTGCATTTTCGCAATCATTTCGGCCGTAAAGAGAAGAGTTACAGAAGAATCGACGGAGATGGTGGCGGTTTGCATAAAAGGGAAAATTTGGAACGTTTTTGGGGTGTTGCTGCAAACCGAGGCCAAGCTTAAAAGTGCACAAGTTCTCATTATGCGACGAACCCATCTCTAAACATTTTGAGACTAATGAAATATTTATATCGAAATTTTATTTTTACTTACCTTATTTACCCAGTCGATGTCCGCACTCTCGTTGAAAGCTTCGTCAGGGCCATAATCGGCCAAAACGGGCTCGCCTTTGAGGCTTTGCTTACGGCCCAGCATCATCTTGAGGCGTTCAGTAATTATTTTGGTAGAAATTTTGTCTTAAAAAGAGATTCAATTAGGTACCTACTAAAATCAACAATGATGATCAAAATTTATTTACGAACAATCTCTGCAGTTTTTGAAAGTTTTTGAAAGCCTGAAGAACATAATTTAATAATATAGTATGATGTACTTACGCTATTTTCCTAAACAACCTTTGCAAAATTCGGAAAAAAATAAATTAGCTTTATTTTTCAAAAATCCAGATATCCATAGCTTCAGCCAAATGTAAAACACCATACTATCTTTATATTTGGTCGATTTGAAATATTCGCTTTTTGTATGGATATTTTGTTCGCATTATTAATGCATATTTTGTGCATTTATAGCACAGATCTTGGCCCGTTTTCCGGATCACTTCTGGTGCTGGGATGTTGGAAAGGTCCAGAATCGCGGAGGAAAATCGATAATTTTCAGCGCGCATTTGCGAGATTTGGGCTGTGCGTTTCTCGATTTCTTTCTATTGCTTTGTACCTACCTGCCTGCCTTGAAATAGTGTTGAAGATGAACTTTTAAATATGAATGCAGGCGCTTCCATTTTCTTAGAAGTTTTGTAGTTTAAACTTAGGCCCAGATCTTACAAGGGTATTTTTGGGAAATAATAGGATATTATAATATCTAAATCTATTGAAAAAAAAATATATTCTATTCCTCTCTATATATTCTAGTGCACTTCTAGTAAAATTCATTTCTATTTTTGATCTTTTCAAACACCAACTTACTAGACTTTTCCAGTTCAGATTCAACACGCAGATAGCATACAAAGTCTTAAAGACATCTTTTTCAGGTCTGCATTACGTCTGAACGTCTGAAGACCAAAAAAAGACGTCTAAAGAAGATGTTTGTTTTGAAGATTTCCATAAGATGTCGTAGATTCACATCTTAAAGAAAACTATTTTGGTACAACCAGGCCTAAAAGTGGATAATGGCTTATGTATTGAAAATAGATTCAAAGACAACTTTGAGACATCATGTTGAAGCTGTCTTTAGAATGTCTCAAGGTTATCCTTAACATTAAAACGCCGCTTAAAGACGTCTTGAATGTCGTTTGTGAACATCTTAGGAATATCTTTTTTTGTCACCCTTTCGAACCCATGCTCTGCACTGATGAAGCTCATTTGTAGCTTATCATACATCATTTGCAGTTTAAAAGGCTTCAGAACAATTTAAAATCCTCGATTTTTTTTTCAAAGAGCCTAGCGCCTGGAATAGACAACAATTGAAAGTTATAAAATGAGTAGGTTGCTAATAATAATGGAATATAAGTCCTGAAGACGGCTTCAGGTAGACGTCTGGAAGACGTTGGGTTTTGTAACGACGCCGACGTCTTTAAGATTTTTTTAAGAAGCCTTGAAGACGTAATAAGCAGACGTTCAAAAGACGTATTGAATGTCGTTTGTGGACATTTTCGGGACGTCTTTAGGATGTCTGTATGCCATCTGGGATTCATTTTGTCATAGATTTCTGCTTTTTCTTTTTTTGGCTCTGATCCATGTATTAATCTTATCTATAATTGATTCAACCACTTGCTTTAGTTTACATTTTCTTATCTTCTCTATTCATTATTACTTTTACACTTCCTGCAACTTCTTAGGATAAGGCATCAAACATCAAAGTTCATAGTATCATCATATCGTTGAGAACTTTCTGAGAACATAGATACTTTACTTATTCTTCTCGTTCTTTATCACTGGAAATTGGATCTTCTTTTCTGTATCGGTATCAACATTTATTTCTTCTGTACCTTCAACATTTTCCCAAATCTAATCCACTTATATCTTTAATTTGTATATAGTAAAATTTTATGTTTGCTGAAAAAAAGTCTCTATATCCACTATTAGGTATACTTTTCGTTCTTTTCTATGCTATACTCATAGCCTCTTGTAGTATAGATCCTTTTCTTTATACTGTGTGTGGAATGTGGGAGTGAGGTGCATCCAAAAACTTTTATACTTACATCCAGACCGAATGCTGGTGAAACCTCTGGAATACAAGAAAATCCTATTGCATACTATGCAGAGCATCTTTGACAAGTTAGGAACTCTGTTATAGAAGCCTCTAAGTTATAGAGGCTTCTGTAACAGACAAAAAGTGAAAATGTTGCTTTTTGGAACTATTTTCTCACTGCCCTTTAAAACCTGTACAATGAATTCATTGACAACGCCCTGAAAAACTCATATATTTTTAGTGGTTACGGTTTGATATCATTTTTCAATATGCATTCCCAAAACCACCAGAAAAAAACTTATTTGTTGAGGACTAAACTGAACAGCGTTTCAGGAAGGTGCATGTCACCTAAATATATTCTCCATTAATAATTTCTCTATGACCCTTATTTCTTTTATGTTGGATAAATCAGAAAAAAATAAAACAACTTAAACACTTGTGAAAAATAACAATATATTATTTTATAGGCGTTATAACAATGTTCAATTTTAACTGATCCTTTGTAGGTCCAATCAAATACGGCGTCTCATGCACTGGTTGAAGTGAGGCTTTGGTATTCAGTTCATGAAATGGAAGCAAATCGTCAATGTTCAAAATTTTATGTTGAGGCGTGAAATGATGAACCCTTTCTATGACTTCCATAACATGTTCGACACCTCCTTGTACACCATAGATCAGTACCGAGACTTTTACGCGCATCTCATCAGGTACGGGCGAATCGCGGCAGGTCAAGGAAAGTCTGACTGTTCGTAGAATTTCTTCGGGCACCTCTAAAGTTCCTGGTGAATGCTAGAATTTTAGCAAAAAAATAATGAACCGTTAAGACTTGCTTACCTTGCCATACAATCCACAAACACTTTTTGAAATGGACCCCTTTGGGGTACAATTCCACCACCCACTCACTCATTTTGTGCGATTCATGGTCAGCAGCTGATAAATGGGATGAAAAAACAAAAGTACTTGTATGATAACTTTGTATATCCCAGAAATTTTCGATGTTCAATGATGCAGAGTAACTTTCAGACGTATATAGTCGTGGTGTAAATAGGTGGCCTTCTTTTTCATAGTAAGGATGTAGTTCTTCAGAGTATTCTTTAAAAAAATTGTTTTATTAGTAGGTAAAAGATTGTGTTTAAAAGGTAAATACCAGATGAATGATATTTCATGCCGATTGCCATTCTATCAAGGAAAAAATCTTTATGTTGCTTAATTAATGGAGATAATAATAAATCAGCCAATTCTCTAGGAGTCATCATAGGAAATCTAACATACATCATAACGGATTCTACTAAATTTATATACATTTTTAATGAATCCTCAGTATTTCCAAGTTTTATCCTTTGTAAGTCTAACCATCTGGAAAAAATTAATACATATGTTAGGGGTTCAGATGAATTCCAAATTTCTTACCTAACAATACAATTATACAACATAATTTCGTTATGCACAACAATATCATTTGCATGTATAATGTTGATAAATGTATCGCAGTCAAAATTACTATAATCCGAAGTATTGGCCACAGCTTCAAAGTTCCATTTGAAATAATTTCTGCAACAATTCAAAATTCTCTCGTGACCGCAAATGTTACTGTACTGGAGCCACGAAGATAGTTGATTGTGATATGCTGCATGAGGTATGTGTCGGCACATGTACATTGTACACATGCGGGTAAGGCTCTAAAAAAAAATCGTTTGTGAATCAAAATTTAGGTGTATTTTAATTTACCTTGACCAAGTATTTGTCAGCTAAAGCTAATATTGGCATAACATTTGTATGCGTTATAAGAATTTTGCCTGTGTAAAAGTATTCTAGGAATGTGTAGAATACGTTTTCGCATATTTGCAACTCTTGAAGTTCTATGTGGGATTCTTTCCATTCTGACCAGGCTGAATTCATTAGCATTGCCTAGGGATTTTTTTTTATTAGAATTATTTTTTTCGATGCAAATTACTTACTTGAAAAACGTCACTTGTGGCACATAAGATAAATCTGTGAGCTCCGTACTGTTTGTTACCAACCTTCAAAAAAATATCACACATACTTTGTTCTTGCCATAACTTCTTGAGGACTTTTAATATGTTTTCTGAGTTGTCTATCTGGAAATAAATTGTAGTTAATGTTATAATAATTATTTTACTAGTTATTTTATGTATTTTGTGAAATATTTGCATGGAAGAGTTTTTATATGCAATTACATCTTTTCACCATAAGAATTATTTGATTTGCTGAATATTGAAACCTATAAAAATTTACTGATATTCTATAGGTAGACGTGGGGAGTCCATTTTGTACTTTTTCAATCTAATTATTATGAAGCAGCTTCAAATGCCTTACTGATAATAATTGATTGTTAAACTCAAGTGTTAATCCCTATCCCAACATTGAAATTTCCTATCCAGATCTAAACTATTCATGTTACAAATAAAATTTATCTGATTTATTAGGTATCATATGACAATTTGCTTACTTTATAAAACATCCTGTTATCATTAAGTAAGGAGAGCAGGGTATTTTATTTTGAATGCCCAGATCTATGACCTGAGCAAGATCAATCTTCACTCTCTTTTGCAGATAAACTAAAGGACTATATCAGTATAAAGTTATACCAAGATTTTGGATGGATGACATGACATTGAAAGGGATCCAATTTTTTTGATATTCATCAATAACCTGTGCGAAGAGTTTTTACTATTTGAGAATGATACCTATATACATATATACAACCATTGTTGTAATTGATACAATGGAGCAGAAATTGGAAGGAGAACTTCTAGAGGAATGTAATGAGACTTAATTCTTCAAAAGGATAAGTAACTTTTCTAAAAATTCCAGTATTTTTAACAAACTTTGAGCTGACTTCAGCACAAATTTGGCAAAATGAAGTTATTGATCTTACATCTTCTATAGAATACCTAATGCATCATTCTTGTAACCTTGGTAGTACCTATAAATCATAGAGAGTTTCCTTCTTACTAGATCCAGAAAAAACTTTCAGCACTAGTATTATAAGAACCAGGGCGATATACGAATTAATATGGTAGCTATAACCGTTTGTACGTTTCTTAAGAAAAATAAACTGATATTATTGATCATATTACCGTTATCTGGCAATTGTCATTGTAGTCATCATCGGATGAAGATGAACAAGCACTCCTCGGTGTTGGAGCTGGTCTATCCCCAATAACATACATATTCTCGTCTTCAAAAAACATTTTTAAAACTAGCAATAATGTAAGATCCTTAAATAAATATTCCTTTATCTCTGGATAAATCTAAATCATAGATTTTTGGAACTGACATACAAGTTCAGCCCTAGAATTCATGTGTTTACTATTGATAAGAGATAACATACATTTCCTACGTAGAAGCAGCAAAAAAAAAAACAGTAAAATTGATTGACTGATAAAAGGGACCTCTGGGATTATGATAGTGTGGATGATGGCACTACTGGATGGCATGAGAGTTTTTATTAAGTTTTTAGTTTATTTTTATTTATTTACTTTATCAAATTCTGAGGTTAGAATTTTTTGTTGACATTCGTGGTCCGACAGAAGTGACATTTAATGACTTGTCATCTTGTTTTGTTGCTCACCTTCGTGTGTGTTGAAAAGAGAACGCAAGATTATGTGATAAGTCGATCGAAACGCCAAAATAATTCAGAATTTGACATCAACATGACATGACATCTTGTTTCTTTCTTTCTCTTTCATTAAAAACTATTGTTTCCATTTCACTTCCTCTCATTCCGCAGTAGAAACATTCCTTTGATTTTTTCTTCAGACAGTTCGACTTCAGAATTTTTTCAAACTTTTGTTGGATTCTCAAATCTCGGTTGCATATTTTTACCATACTACAAAACAAAACAAGAAATATTGTCGCTAGGATGCCTATTTCATGTGCATTTCATCATTTTTTTTTTCAAAAAGTATTGGAATACTGGAAGCCCTAGAAGTGGAAGCTAATTTCTCAAAAACCCCTACTTGAAGCTGAGATGTAAGTATTTATATTGTCTAGTAGTATCTATTAAGCACATGCTTCTAGGCACATAGTTTGGAAATAATATAAATATTTGTGATCTATCAACATTAGCCTGCAACTTGTGAATGCGTTCATTCTTGTATGGGGCAATAGGACTGTTCTCACCCATCTATGTAGATCCTAGTCAGCTAGCCTTGCAGCTTGCAGCTAGCCTAATGTATGTACGTACCACAAATCCCAAATCAGAGCCAAGTGCCTATATACTTACACCTACAGTTGCATGCTTTGGAAAATCTATACTAATAGAATATGGAATAATCATTTTATGTTTGCCCAATAAATACAAAAAATTTAAACTACAACCTCCTGGTTTTGACCATACTGCGTTACTGTTGAAGTTTGGTGAGGTGTCTTTAACTCGGAGAAGAAAGGTCTTTGGAAAGGTCCAAGCTATCAAGTTTCCATATAACACCTTCACATGGTAAAATAGACTATCCAAATCTTATTGGGAGCATTTATTACAAGATCCCGAGGCTAGTGTGTAGGTACAATGCGAGGTACATGAGACTGAGACATTTTATTTACAGACTGCCAACATGTTATACCAAGTGTTATACAGAAGTCCCTCGAGAAGTCCTTTATATTTTATGAGCTGAGTTTTGCTGATAGGCCATTGAACAAGCTTTAAAATGAGCCATCATACAACCCTGTAGGTCTTTTAATCTTCAAGAAATGCTTTTTTTTTCCCAAAAAAAAAAAAAATCGTAAAAAATTCCTAACTTTTTTAATTTTCATGCTAGACAAGTAATTTTTTGCACATACATAGTAGATGAGGCAGGCTTTATTGAGCCCAAATTTGGGCCCGGTCCGATGGGTCGTTTCGGCATAATATCCTTGTCAAGCAAAATGGGGATGTTCTGAAGCAGTTTGTCGAATTAGGCAATCTCAATCACGTGATTTTATAATGGCCGGTCGGGTCAAATATTGCGGTGACAGGGGTGACAAGCCGGTGACGTTCATAAGGAGATTTGAGTTCGGCCCTTGTTGCTTTCGAAGTGAATTTTTCATTGGTTTTAATTTTGGTCATTGTTGTTTTCAAAGTGAATTTTATAGTCTTTAGTACTTCTACGTATTTTTTAGTGTTCTGGCCCTTGTTGTTTTCAAAGTGAATTTTATAGTGTTTCCAGGTATTTTTTAATTTATTAGATAATAAATTCTGGGATGGAGAGTGAATATCTTAAGATATTATTATTAATAATAATAATCGAGCCTCTGTACGATCCTTCCTTTTAATTGCAGCAATCCATAAAGCCCTGCGTTGTTTTGATAATTTATATTTGTAGATCAAAAGCCAATGATTTAAAATAGCAGGAACTGAATAAAAATTCACATTTTCCCTGTTACCTCGACTTCCACAACCAATTACGATGTAAATCGCTGGCATTTTTATTAACACAATACCTAAACACACAAAAAAACACAGAATCCGATAATTCAAATCTTGACGTTTGTCCAGAATGTGACAGAATCAATGACATACAGAATAAACAACACAGTGCTTGACCCAATGCTTGACCCGAACTTCCATATTGAATTTCGTTTTTGACAGGTCAGTAGATTACCTAATTGAGGATAATTTTTTTTTCTCCAAACGTCAAAAAAACGTCACTTTGTTAACCCCTGTCAAGATGTCAGAAATTAAATTTCTATGCTGCTAGGCAAATCCAGCGGGTTAACACCTGTCGAGGTGGTAGAAATTTAATTTTTCTCCGAATGACAGTAAAAGCGGCCTTTTAATGACACTTGACAGGATCAAAAGTTGTATTTTTACTGCCTAGGCAGTAAAAGTGGACTTTTACTGCCTAGGTATTAAAAGTGACATTGTCACAACGTTCCAGGTAACAATTTCACTCAATTTGGTATTTGAAATTGATGGTGACAGTGACAATTGTCAAAATAATTTAATTATTTGGATAAAAATAATGAATGAAATAAATATAAAAAAGATTTCCATGTGTAAATTTGAATATTTGGAGAAAAAATTATATGTTTTACATGGCAGAAAAGCAGATTTAATGCCTCGGCTGGTTTCCTAGCCTCGGCTATGAAACACCAGCCGCGGCATTAAATCTTGTACTTTTCTGCCTAGTAAAACAAATAACTATTCTATGCTGCTTGGCAACCCCAGCGGCAGAAAAACTACTTTTACTGCCGTCTGGAGCGGCAGTAAAAGTACTTTTAGTGCCGCTTGTAGTTTTACTGCCGCTCAACCATTCACTTACCACCAAGCTTACCCCATTCGTTTGGAGAAAAAATAGCGTGTTGCATACGGAGTAGAAGCACTTTTTTGTGCTTCAGCAGCATTGCGAGCCGAACGTAGTGAGCCTACTGCTTCAGCACAAAAAAGTAAAGCTTCTACTCCTAATACAACAATGTACTATTATATTTATTTTGAAAAGTCCACTGATAAGTCGAAATGCCAAACTATCGATCCTCTATCTCAGATTTTCCATTTAATTTTTTATCGCAAGTAAAACGGCTCCAAACATCACTGAAAATGGAAAAAAAAATGTAATTTGCGTGGGCGGGGGGGAGCTCGCTGTCACTCCGTTTGAATTCCCGTCAATTTTTTCCATTTTCAGTCATGTTCGAAGCCGTTTTACTTGCGATAAAAAAATTTAATGGAAAATCTGAGATAGAGGATCGATAGTTTGGCATTTCGACTTATCAGTGGACTTTGCAAAATAAATATAAAAAAATTATCCTCAATTCGACAGACTGCTTTAGAAATATCCCCATTTTGTTTGACAAGGGTATTATGCCGAAACGACCTATCGGACCGGGCCCAAACTTGGGCTCAAGAAAGCCTGCCTCATCTACTATGTATGTGTAAAAAATTAATTGTCTAGCATGAAAATTAAAAAAGTTAGGAATTTTTTACGAAAATCTCTTTTTTGTGGGGAAAAAATCATTTCTCGACTCGAAGACTAAAAGACCTACAGGGTTGTATGATGGCTCATTTTAAAGCTTGTTCAATGCTCTAAAACTATAATAATAATAATATAATAAAAATATTTATTGCGTAATAAAATAAAATACAAAATACATTATTACACAAGCGGCTAACATTCGCTCAAGCGTTCTTCCATGTTGCCTTAAAATAATATATAGCAAAGCTATACACACTACACAGCTTTCAAAACTCATCAACAAAAGTACATTAGGGGTTCATAAAATTATTACAACATTTCAAGTAATAAAATATCTTTCAAATATAATTTTAAAGCGCCCTTAGAAACATTGGCTAATTTAAAATATAAGGGGGAGTTAAGTAGGCTTATTGCTCTATAGGAGAAACAATTTTCAAATTTAGTAGTTCTGTGCTGTGGAATAGCAAATCTAACAATATTTCTTAACTCTAGACCATGCAAATCCAAACGGAGATCAAAGTAACTGTAAAGGTACCTTGGGAGCCCATTTTTGAAGATTTTTTGAACAAATAATGCAAAGTGCAACTCGACCCGGAGGTTGTATTTCAAAATCTTATTATTTATATATATTGGAGTTATGTGGTCATATTTGTTGATACAATAAGTAAATCGCAAACAAGAGTTTTGAATTTTGGTTTTATATTCATTTGTCAGGTAATAATAATAAATCACATTACAATAGTCTATTTGAGATAGCAATAGAGAATCTACTAGTTTCGCTTTGGTTTCACTTTGCAGAATATACTTGAAACTACACAGTTGTTTAAGTTTAATCATAATAGATGTTATTTTTTTTTTCCACATGTAATTCAAAATTTAAATTACTATCAAAATAAACTCCCAAGTTTCTTGCACAATCCTCAAGCGGAATTTCAACACTATTGAAGTGTAATGTTGTAAAGTTGCAAGTGAAAAAGTGATTCCTAGCCGTTTTTGTTCCTATAATTAAATAAAGACATTTTTTAACATTTAACAGCAACCCATTATTCAACGACCACTTCCAAACAATATTCAAATCCTGATTTACCCTTTCCATTGCCCAACTGGCAACCTCTGGAGGAAAACCTGACAACAATTGTGTGTCGTCTGCGTAGAAGTGGATGCCGCAAAAACTGACCTGTCGTTGCAAGTCAGCAGTGAAAATGTTGAACAAGAGTGGGCCAAGTATGCTGCCCTGTGGAACGCCTTTTGTGACAGAAACAAGGCCAGATCTCGCCCCATCCAACTCCACAACCTGTTGTCTCCCCCCGAGGTAGCCCCTGAACCATTTACAGGCCGCCTCAGAAAACCCATAGTATCTTAACTTAGCTATCAGCAGATCATGTGGCACCAAATCAAAAGCTTTACTATAATCTAACAATACCAGGCAATTAACATATGATTGATCCATGGAACACGAAATATCAGTGCATATCCTACTGAGAGCGGTCGCAGTTCCATGTTGAGCCCTAAAACCCGACTGGGTTGGAGGCAAAATATTTTTGTTTGCAATATAACTATTCATTCTATCAGACATAATAATTTCAAACATCTTTGACAGAATTGGTAGTTTACTTATTGGTCTCAGTTCATTAAGAGTACCAATTTTAGCATTTTTAGGAAGAGGAGTAACTATTGACTTTTTCCAAACTTTAGGAAACTTTCCAGAGAGCAGACATGAATTATACAAGTTGGTGATTGTCGGTGCAACATAATCTAAGCTGAAAAGTAACATGTCATATGTTATATTATCTATCCCGAATGCTTTGGATTTAATTCTCCTAAAAGCATTGTATACTTCGAGTTGGGAAATTTCTTCAAAAGAGAATTGTTCCAAAACGTCAATTCCCATAAAGTTGGCATTATTAAAGAACTCGACAACTTCCTGATCTACCTGTACATTCATTCGAAGCACACTTGCAAAATGGGCACTAATCGCGTCTACATTTTTCAAGTGTGTGGGTATTTCATATACAGGTTTACAATGAACATTCCAATCATTGAGTTTTGACCACATACGTTTAGAATCCCTATTTAATTTATTCA